ACGATTGTGGACGATTCATTTATTCAGCTGAAGGACATAAGAAGATATTGATTGGCTAACCAGTGAGAGCTATCGTTATATGGGGACATGGTAAATGCTCGTGTAACAAAATGAAACTACAGCAGAGACCGGTTTAAAAAGCCAGAAGTCAGTGTTTTGATGGCAGAATTTATTGAAAAGTGTTCTTTTAGGACAAATCTACCTAGAATGTAATCTAGTTTTACACCAGATTGGTTGGTTAATAAGTTCTGTATTTCTCTTAATAAATATATTTCAAACAAATGATAGTGTCATATACAATATTTAATTTGTTTCATTTGCAAATCCTATTGCTAATAGAATGAACATCTTGTACAAATAAAGTTGCATTATATGTTGGTTACAGATAAAAATACATGAAACCATTTTGCAATCTAAAGTTGTTCACACCTTTAGTGTAGACTGTTACACTGTGAAATGTCACATTAGCTAATGTTCAAAATGTTTGAAGCAAATTAAAGCTTGGTTTAAAATATGTTACACATTTAAGCAAACGTTTGTCGATAAACATTTTATCTGTCTTTCTTTAAGTGTTGTGTAATATTGTTTATTGGGTATATTCTAAAACTCGAATAAAATAAAACAATATCAGAAATACCATATACTTACAACGAAACGGAAAGGCAATGCTTCTGCTCCAAGTTTCTTAAGGAGTTTTTCGTGGAGCCATCCACCAGCTAATCCAAGTTGCGTGGAGTTATCGCCAGGGGTTAAAGTAGGTTCAAGAACACGTGGGTAGATCTGCTTGTGGGTTATGTAGAGTTCTCGACAAAAACTTATTCCCAGAATTTCATCCTCTTCACGACCGTAACGAAATATTGCAACAATTCCCACGTAAATATTTTTATTTTCGACAGCCATTGGGTTCAGGAGAACGATTCCTTCTGTTCAAAGGAATAAGTTTAGCATTTGTAATATAAAAAGAAAGCCATTTGAAAAAAATGATTAAAATTGAACATTATTACTTACAGAGTTGGCGAAAAAACACACTGTGGGGCATTTGTTACATTCCCATTTTAGATATAAATGTAATATTTAATGTCATGAAATGTTAATGAAATTCGAAACCTGACAAAACACCAGGAAACATTAGACCTAAATATGTGTAATAGAAATCATGCTAGACTGCAAATTTTATCTCTCTGCATGTCTCTTAAGTTGTCAGTTACGAATTAGAAATCAGAGATGCATAAAAATTGAACTTGTATCATGAATATTAAGCCTATTGTTTTCCAAAACTTCGTCTGATGTCATAGCATTAAAGCTGTTATATTACACATACAAACAGCGTTACAAACAGACTTTTACCCATAAAGACCAGGCCAGCTGATGAGTTTAGGTACATAACGAAAAGTTTCCCGATCACTGACTTAAAGTAGAAGAAAAAAAGATCTAAAAAATATATTCTTTCTTCCTGTTTTGAAATTTGTAATTAGAAAACAAAAAGAAGTGTAAAAACACAGCAGTGAGGATGATATTTATTATGAATATTAGATCTATAATGATAAATTTGCTAAATGTACAAAACAACAGACTAAGATTTCGCTGTATAACGTTGTACTGCAGCAATTGTTACATCAGACTAAGATTTCGCTGTATAACGTTGTGCTGCAGCAATTGTTACATCAGACTAAGATTTCGCTGTATAACGTTGTGCTGCAGCAATTGTTACATCAGACTAAGATTTCGCTGTATAACGTTGTACTGCAGCAATTGTTTATAAAACTTCTGAAAGTACGCCTTGATAGAATTTCAAATCAATACACTCTTATTCACAAGCTCGAACAATATGACAAGCACTTGCATTGGTGTTTTAAACCTAGAATGCTTAGTAAAAAATGTTAGTTTGTGAATGAAATTTTCGTCCTCCACATTTGCCGGTTTTTTTTTATAGAGCTTAGGTGTTTGAAAATATATGTTAAAGTGTATTCACATAGTTTATTTTGAAGACTTTGATGACTAAATTTCATCTCTTGATTTCCGTTTCCAATTTGAACACCAGCAGAATGTGTAGGAAATGGTTTTTGAATTTGTGTTAGGTCGGATTTTGAATCCGAAGGTTCATGATTCACGTCCCATTGTCTCAAACTCGCTCTCGGCATTGTGGGACCATGGATGAGTTATAAGAGTGAGAGTAAAATCTCAGTATTCGATTGCAATAGCCAAAGAGTATACGACGAGTGTTGTTAACTAAGTACCTTTCCTCTAGTTTGTCAGATCTAAATTAGAGACGCGTAGCGCAGACAGTCATTGTGCAGGTTTTCCCGAATATTTGAAAAAAATAGCCAATCAAATGTATATATCGAAAAAATGGAGAAGTCAGTTAATGTAATTTTAACATATCTTCTCGACGCTTATATCTCGCTTACATGGAGAGTATTTCTTTGTGTTTGTTTGTAGTTAAGCACTAAGCTACACAACGGCATATATTTGCTATGCCCACCACAATACAGAAACCAGGTTCAGCGTTATAAGCCTTCAGACTTTCCGCTGAGCCACTGGAGGAGAGAAAGTGATTACCAAAAATAAAATTTAGCGATAATTTGGTTAATTTTAGATAGAAGGTTAATAAAAATGTTTAGATCGTTAAAAGGATTCTTATATATGACTTGTAAACAATCGTCGTGAACCTAAAATTATACCAAACTACACATATAATTACATTATTTAGAAGGACAAGTACATTATTTTATAACAACGATTATACAAAAAATTTCACCTGTATCATAAAAGTACTACATCACTATATCCTAAACCGTACAACGTAAACATTGTTTTAAAACATCACCACTAAATCGCATTATTATTGTAATAATGAGGTTTCTGTCGCACATAACTCTTATTTACATATTTAAGTTTGCCAAAGGCAGCGGGGATGTCAGTATTCTTAAGGCTTAGCGGTAAGTGTGTTCACTTATAATGCTAAAAATCTGATTTCGATAGTTGCGGTGAGCAGAGCGCAGATAGCTTTGTGAGAACAAATAAAAACAGTATTTTTAAGAACGTTTCTCATATTTTCAAAATGACGATAAGAACAGGTGCACCCTTCAAACTCATTTCGATCGGCACACAGCAATAGATTAATACTTTAAAACTGCACGCTAGTGCCAATACTACAAGTCAATGTGGACGTGTGTCCATACAACATACTTAAGTCACAGATGATGGTGCACTACATTATTGTTCTTGCTTTTAGAACAATAACTTTACACACGAACCTGAAATCTGGAATATATTACGCCACCAAAATACCAAATATGAAAACTACAATTCCGAAGTTGAAACACATACTTTCAAAGCGTTATCGAATGTAAACAAAATACAAACGACCTTGCACTATCCTTATTATAGTTCTTGCAGAAATACTTCAGGAATAAACAAATTTAACGGTTGTATTTACCACTATAACTTCTTTCAAAATTATCTAAACATTGATGAAATATTGTCGCCACAACTTCAATATTAAATTACTTAAATGATCATTCTCATGCTCTGACCATAGTTATAGAATAATTAGGCAGTGAATTTGATATATACATCACAGCTGAATAATTTTCAATTCAAGTTTATGTCGTTACCCTTGACAAATGTATTTAGTTCTATCTGTTCATCGTTAGAGGGAGCCTTTGAAGTGGATGGCTTATTAAGTCCAACTATATCAGTGAATGTGTCGAGGCAAAATGTTACTTTTTCTCTGAATAGGATTATATGCATTTGTTTTAGTAGTTATTAATCTTACTATAAGGAAATGTACAGCAGAGTATAATTCCTTGCTTGAAAGTCACCCAAAAATATAATTCCCAGACGGGCTCAAAGTTTGTTGTTTTAGGATATAAATATTGACTTGAGAGAAATGTAATCGGATTGCAAGCAACAGAATGGTGAAGTTTGATAAGGTTTGTCACCTAGTCGGATTAAGAATTCTACTAAAACATATTTGCTTATCAAAAATATTGTACTTCGTTAGCTTTTGTAAGTGTGAGAAGAGTAGGTAATAAATTAAATTTTCAGCGGATATAGAATATCGCACATAGTTCGATTGATAAGAGATTTTAAAATAAATAAAACCTTGGGGAACGTTAAAAATATTAATTTGGTGTTTCTATAACTTTAAATTAACTCAAACTGCTGTTACTATACAGTTGCATTTCTGCAATTTGTAATATGGGTGTCATATTGATTAATAACTTTCTGCTTGGCTTAGAATTCTGTCAATTCTGTTATCTTCTTAAGCTGTTGTTTGATCAAGTACCTCATAAGAATATAAGGAATCCAACTTCAACTTTTGGGTTGCTCTTACAAATAGTGGGATTTGACGGTCATTCTTATAGCGCGCCTACAACCCCAAACTGCAGCGTACGTTAATTTTTGCGACAAGAGGTCGTAAGCCATAAACCTTCGGATTCAAAGACCAAGCACACTAAACATTAGACCACGCAGGCCTTTCTAAAGCTAACAGAGCCAGAAGTAATACCCCCCCCCCCCAGTGTTCCAGCGGTATGTTTGCGGATTTATACCGCTAGAAATCAGGTTTCAATAGCCGTAGTGGCCAGAACACAGATAACCCATTGTGTAGCTTTGTCCTTAACTACAAACAAACCATATATTCTCCTAGAAACTATTTTAAACTTACCAATTGGATCACAGTGTGTAAAATAATCAACAAAATCCCTTGTTCCAAGGTAGACGGTCACCTGTAAAAATGTTATTACATAAAAATACAGGATATATTGTAAAAATTGATCACACACATATATTGTTGAAACTAAAACGGCAAAAAATAATTTATGTTAACCTGTAAAAATGCTAATACAATGTGCACGTAGTAGTTAGTAGAGGAATATAACCTTCATAGTAATTGATTTTTCATGATAATAGTAGCAGATAAAACTCATAGTAGATGAGACGTAAGGATTAACACATTAATTACAATATATTATATCGTAAGTACGTTATTAACAAATATTGGAAGTTGGCCTTTAACACTGGTCATAGTTTAGGTGTAAGATTGAGGATAAGACAGTGTTAACAGTAATGGAATATATTACCGTTCACGGTGGCCTATGAAAAACTAATATAAAAGACTTTTACAAATGGCTGTACACATTTTAACCCTAAAACTTGGAGACGATCACACAGAAATTTGTGGCTTTTTTGGCGTCACACTTGTTAAAAAATCAGTAAAATTACTTTTAAACAATAACTTAGTGTTAATTTGACATTGTGTTCAGTGGTTCATGTCTTTCAGAGAAATATTCGTTTGAATATTAGTTTTTTTTCCTGTTTGATTATATCGAGATTTTGATGAAAGATCAGTGTGGGTTTTACAAAGTAATTTACTTATGAAAGACCTGTTTTCAGTACTAAACAAGTCAATATACACTGGGATAGTGTCCGAAAGTCATGTCTACTCTAATCCCTGTTTCAAGTGCAAGGTTAGCAGGAAACGATGGAGTTCCTGTTGAAGTTGAATTGATCAGAGAGAGAGAGAGAGAGAGGGGTCGTTCGAAAACGTTTTAATTTAATCAAAAACGGACAAGAAAACTAAGAATAGTAAGAATAGATATTATGTTCTTCTCACTGTAACCAATTTCACTGTCGTAGCTCGTCTAGTGATTGACAGACTTATATATGATTAACAACATTTCAACATCTAGCCATTAAAAATAACGGGGAAATATTTACTGTTATTTCTACAAAGTGTCCAAAATGTCATGAACGTGTTGAAAACCACTTTTATAAACCTCAAATCAAGTTCAAAATGAAATGCTCCTGGGGTAAAGTAATCATGCTTTGGGAGGTCTTTTCATCAACACCAAAACATCATTTAGGAGTTTCACTGGGTTTTTCGAAGCAAGAAATCGAACCCCAGACTTATACAAAGCTTTATGAGAGAAATTGGTTTAGAGGTTTTTCTCTCGTGGAAACTTCTATATGATCGAATAAATATTTTAGGGGTAAAACGTAATGACTTTTCAACTAAGAAAAATAAAGGCCTTGGGTAAAATACACGCTGGTCTAAAACTTTCATTTAGCTTTCTTAGCTCAGAAAGGTACATTTTATTTTACCAACATTTTCCAAATCTCTCTAAGGAATATACTTTTAGAATGCTTACAAACTTTCCCATATGGAAAATATGTATTGTGCAGTACTGAACATATTTTGTGCTGTAGTTACACATGGCCAAAGAGCATGGCTCTCTTTAAGGTTCTTCAGACGATGTTGATAGAGATCTGTCTTCAGATCTAATTCTGCCTCTGGTAACATCGTCGTGTTTAGATTTAGAAATAGTTGGAGGTTAAACTCTTTTGTTTTCCTTTCACTTGGGACAACCAATGATGTGGGTAGCGCCTGCACTGTGAGAGCGATGACTTTATTGTTTTAGTTTATATAACGCTATGCTCTCTCGGACTGGAGCAGATTACATTTAGAACCTCTTATCAGGATATCTACCAAATTTCTTTCTTGTTTTTAGAAGCACTGTCGAATAAGTAATGCGATCGTCAGTATCTTGATATGTTGTTTTTCTGTAAATAAATATTGATTTGATTTGTTTAATATTATATTCATTCTCTTTCTTTCAAATCAGTCGGATCACATTTTCAGTTTTAATTTCATATTATAGCCATCTCTTGTTACTTATGAATACGACCCGAAAAATAAATCGGTGTATCTGAAAACAGTACATGGTTAAAACCGCTACAGGGAAAAAATAATTATGTGGTAGCGTTTCGACAAAACTCACTAAAAAACGGTAAAAGATGGTTTTAGGTATGAAACGTTGTGGGTTTAAACACCCATATATACTCCTAAATTTTAGGTTTACTTTCATATGAAAGATTTGTGGATGGAGGTTATCTCTGATAGAAATTACATCTCCATCACCGCGCGAGTCTTATCTTTCAGTTACCTCTTCTATAAGGATGTATTTTACTACTCCCATATTGTAGCTGGTATTTGGGTTTTATTTGGTTGTCTTGCATGTGCGGTGATATTTGGTTTTAGCCGAGTTATTACAAGGGGTCAGATGGACAAGGAGCGCTTCTGCTATTGGTCAGGAATGGCGACGGCATTGTGTTGAAAATAAAAACTGACCTATAGAACAAAGATTTGAATGCAGCCATTAAACTGTGATTGGTATTCGTTCATGACTTTTCTGCAAAATTTTCCTGTGATCTGTTGGAGAAGTTGAAATATAATGGAACGAGAGGAAGAAAAATGCGATTGTATACATACCCTTTCGTATAACTTTAAACTCCACCATCTCTTGCTGAATATGTGACTGTGGATTTCTAAAATCTATTATGTTTTATCGATAAAATAACAGTGCCCTCTCTGATAACGCCAAGTTTATTTGAAGAGAAGAAGGAAAATACAGATTTTGGGCTTCCCTGCAGCGTGAAGAGAGAGAATAGCTTAAAATGCGCTTATTCAGTAGAGAGGAAAGAGAGTCGAAAAATAGCTCGATCGTACAAAATCAATAGTAAAGTTGTGAAGATGACTACGGCGGTAAAGCTACTTACATATATTTGATAGAGACAAATATTTTCTATAGAGAATTTGTTTGCTTCTTTGTTCTTTTTAATTTCGCGCAAAGCTACATGAGGGTTATCTGCGCTAGCCATCCCTAATTTAGCAGTGTAAGACTAGAGGGATTGTTTGTTTTTGAATTTCGCGCAAAGCTACACTGGGACTATCTGCGCTAGCCGTCCCTAATTTAGCAGTGTAAGACTAGAGGGAAGGCAGCTAGTCATCACCACCCACCGCCAACTCTTGGGCTACTCTTTTACCAACGAATAGTGGGATTGACCGTCAAATTATAACGCCCCCACGGCTGAAAGGGCGAGCATGTTTGGTGTGACCCTCAGATTGCGAGTCGAGTGCCTTAACCACCTGGCCATGCCGGGCCGACTAGAGGGAAGGCAGCTAGTCATCATCACACACCGCCAAATCTTGGGCTACTCTTTTACCAATGAATAGTGGGATTGACTGTCACATTATAACGGCCACTGCAAATTGCAAGTCGAGCACCCTAACCACCTGGCCATGCCGGGCCTTCTCTAGAGGAGGGTTTACATAGATGTTAAATCCTCTTTAATCAATTATGTTGTTTTTTTACATCAAACTTTAAAAAAGAGGTGAAATAATCTATAAATAATTTTATGTATTTTTACATACTGTGTTACAATGCCAAAGATAAAGTAAATAATCATGGCAGAGATTTTTTTTCTAAGCTGGCAAAGTAAGAAAACTCTTTCAGTCTAACAAATCTAATAAGAATCAAGTGTCCTGCAGATACGTGTTTTATTTTAGTTTTTTCACACAACTTTGAATTATTTCATTAAGAGCTTTTTTTTCTTCTAAAACCACAGTTTTGTAAAAGTAGAAATTCAAACCTCTATTTAGCTCTTTCGATCAATACCAAAAACTTATTACCTGGGCTTCAGTTGTTTCATAATGTTTTTGCTAAATTATTTATAATGATTAATATAGTAAAATTAATTACACACTTGGAATAGCCCCCCAGTGGCACAGCGGTATGTCTGCGGACTTGCAACGCTAGAAACCGGGTTTCGATACCCGTGGTGGGCAGAGCACAGATGGCCCATTGTATAGCTTTGTGCTTAATTACAAACAAACAAACATCTGGGATACTGAAATAGCAGTTAATTATACCACGTTTTACTCAAGGTTAATCTGTTATACCATCGTGCGTCACATGAAAGCAGTTACGTTGAATTTGGCCTACATGGGTATATACTGGACTATAATTTCATTTGACTATTAAACTAATAATACCTACCAGGGATCTAGTCGACTTTGAGAAAATAATATGATCAATTCTTTAGACATTCGAATACATATACGAGGATTTGATACTATAAAACTAATTAAGGTTATTATTTCCGTAAATTAGGTTCGGGATGTTCAGCTTCGACAATCTGCTTAGTTTGATATACTGTGTTCTGCATTTAGAAATAATCCGAGTCTAATAACTTTGGCATACTGAGTAATTGTTTAAAACTTTAACATACGATCTATTTAAAAACTAGGACATGAATGTTGTTATTTGCTTAATGATAAGGAAAACGCACGAAAAGTTTATTACCACTAACTACGGTGATCTTCTCAACAACATTCTTTGTAAGTTTGTTTGTTGTTAGCGCGAAGCAGTATGACGGGATATCTATGCTGTGCCATCCACGGGCACCGAAACCCGGTTTTTAATGTCATAAGCCCACAGATTTACCGCTGAGCCACAGGTTTTTTTTTAGACGAATTATTTAGTGCAAAGCTTATACATTTGTATCAACAATTCTTATACTAAGTAACAGCGTGTGCAGATATAGAGTAAAAGAATCACTCCTCCCATCTTAACTGAATAGATAAGACTTTCACTTTGTTAATCCTAAACTACAGATCAGGGAAGGGGTCTAGTTTGATTTGTTTTTAATTTCCGCAAAGCTACTCGTGGGCTATCTGCACTAGCCGTCCCTAATTTAGGTTATAGACTAGAGGGAAGGCAACTAATCAACCCGTCACCAAGGGATCCATCGGATTTAAAGAAAAAAAACATTTTGCTAAACTATTTATGGAAACGTTGCACGATAATCCACGATTTTGTTGGTTGCCGGATCCTTAATAACATAACATGAGTCGCACACAAAAATGTAAACAGAAATCATGTCAATTTTGCATTTAATTCCATTAATTGCCGCTGGAGTCCCCTGTTGTATTTTACATAGAAAATGCCTGATTTGACCAAATTCGTTTGGTAACTTTTTTTTCTTATAGTGACTTCTTTTATAACCAAAATCTTAAAATTACTCAGTTTGATGCACTCAGTTGATCTCTTCGGTAAAGACGACATGAATCAATCGGTTATTTATAATCGGTAAAATATTGTCATTAATCATTTGAAAACTTTTTTCGTTCAGAAGTTCAAAAATACTTTAAACTTATTTAAAATATTATTTTTATATGGTTAAAAATTTAATGAATAAAACAAACACGTTTAACTTCTTTACTTTCTATGCGTTAGGTAATGACCTTGTGGACGTTTTGAAACAGCAGCGAATAGAAAAAAAATTAATATCACAAACAAATAACGACTGAACAAGGCTGTCTGGAAATTACGTTAAAGAAATGTTCACTTAAGTTTCAGAGATTCAGAGGAATGAATGTTAAGAAATTTGTTAACATAGTTTCTGAACACCTTCTATGTAGCACTATTCGTAACGATGCATGAAAACAACATATAGACGGTGCTTATAAAATGATAATTACATGGTCCTTATCTTCTGAATACACAGCATTATTACTCTGCATCTTGCATATAGGCTAGTCAGGAATTATCCGAATTACAGACATTAACATTTTGTGTTGGTTATTTTATTAGCTATGGATTGCAAACAGTTTTGGCTGACCATGTAAACTTGAAGCCAGTGATGGAAAACAACTGAAGCCTAGTATATTTGTTTGTTTTATTGTTGTTGATGATGATGTAGTAAAAGAACCATTCACGTTTCCTATTACGAAAAAAAAAGGCAGCAGACAAATGCATTTCTTTTTTCGCGTTTGTTAGATTTCACCGTATAGTTTGTTTATTTAGGCATAACAGTCAAGGCCGTACGAAGGTAAATTTATACTAGAACAGAAAGATTGTGCGGTAAATTCTACTACAAATACACGTTGCTAACTGTAAACTTTTAGAAAACAAATTGCAAACATCACTGCGTTTACTTGAGGACTGTTTTCCATAACAGAAATATTCAAAGACTTTTAATGTTTCGAGAAATCGAGACAGTTGATCAGTGTTACCAACGAGTAAAACACACAAATCATTCGCAATTACAGCATACTGGAGATGTGCAAATATGCTTTGATCCGAGTTAATTAAAACGACATGATCGTTCTTGGTCTCCAGGATTTCCTGTGTAGTCGTCTTCGAGCGAAACGTTAAGGATCTCTTCGATAGTCTATTCGCTGCTGAGACCAAAAAGCTTTATAAAATAATTACAAGCAACAGCATATTCAAAGAATAGGCCTGGTAATTAGTTAGCCTGTTGTGGTTGAAACAAGTAAAAACAGCATTCACTTCCCAACTGAAAAATTACTGATTCTTAGCGAACACTTTATTTGTGAGCAGGCCTGTCATGGCCAGGTGGTTAGGGTGCTCAACTCGCAATCTGCGGGTTCGAATCCCCGTCCCACCAAAGATGCTTGCACTTTCAGCCGTGGGGGAGTTATATTGTGACGGTCAATTCTACTATTCGTTGGTAAAAGAGTTGGCGGTGGGTGGTGATGACTAGCTGCCTTTCCTCTAGTCTTAGTTACGGCTAACGCAGATAGCCCTCGTGCAGCTTTGAGCGAAATTCAAAAACAAACATTATTTGTGAGCGACGTTATTTCGAAATGACTTTATGAACAAGTACATTTATTCTTTTGTTTGAATTGTCGGATATGCGCGTAAAGATACACAAGAACTAGCTGTGCTAGCAGTCCTAATTTTGAACTGATAGATAAGTGGAAACTTATCCTTTTAAGACGACTACTATCCTGAGTATTAACGTGAAGATCCAAATATTAGCAAATAATATGCTATATTATTAAGAACATTTTACAAAATTTGCTGTTAAAAATATAAACCTCTGTCAATTCGGATGCATAGATAAATAAATACTTATATATATTGAAACTTGTGATTGCATATTTTTAAATGATATTATAAACTACTAATTGACCGAAAGCTATTTTTTAAAAACAAATGTTTTTAAGTTGGTGTTCAGTAATGCTGGACATGTAAAAATATATACTGCCCCTTTATCATAGTTTCCCAGTGGCACAGTGATAAGTTTGATGGCTTTTAACATTAAAAATCGAGTTTCGATGCCCACGGTGTGCAAAGTACAGCTAGCCTATTGTGTAGCATTGCGCTTAACGACAGACAAAACATTATCTTAAGAGTTTTAACAAAACTGTTGCAACAAAGGTACTGATAGATTTAAATGTAAAAATTCACCATAGAATAAGTAGAAACCGTTGTACTTACACTGCCATCCATCGCACTTTTCTTGAAGATACGGTTTGAACCGAGAACCATATTGCCGGTTTCCTCCGTCGTCGTGTTTCACCTGCTTCTATTGACAGTACCTGTTCGACTGTTTACCCAAGAATCTGGTGGTGACACCTAGCGTCGGAAGCGGAAAAATTATATGTCAGCACTCGCTCTCTCAGTGGTCCGGTTATATTTGGGGGAGGTGTGAGCTTGCTTATCTCACACTGTCGAATATAGTTTTGCACGAGAGTGAGCACGTGTTGTGTATACTCCTTGGTTGTTTTTTAAACGTCAGTGGAAGAAACTTCATTAAAACATATTAAGTAGTTTCACCTTTTTTCTTCGCTATTTACCAATTGTAAAAACCTCAAGAAAAAGTCAATTTACATTCAAATAGAGCAACTAACGATTAGCATGCTCTGTTCATACTTCTTAATGTAAGATATTAGCTGTAATGTTCCTATGAATAATTATACTATTTCAATGCTTATTACCACGTCTTATTATTCCCACTTAAATTAAGTACAGAAGAACGTATATCACGAGCTTTGCTTATCTTTACTTCTTTACCATTTGAACATCACTTGGACAAGTAGTTTGATTTTTGAAAAAAAAAGATATTCTAACTGTATTAGTTTAAAAACAAGTGTAAAAAGTGGATTATATCACGTTATTCAGTACATCTCATGAATCCACCAGTTATGTGGGGTATTCATCTCCTTTCAAGTATCCTTGTTAAAGTATACTGGCGAGAGAATTATACATACGATTTATAATTGGGGAACTGGTTTAGGTTTTGTTTGAAAAACACAGTTACAGAGTGTCATATAATCATGTACGTCGGAATATGAGGCTACTCTATTCTCAGTTCAAATCAAATTTGGATACTGTGGCATAATTAAAAAAAGATAGCCCCCCTCGCAAAATAAGCAAGTAGGCCCCCTACATTTATTTCACTATAATTGTAGTTACGATTCTGGCTGATCGTTAACAGAATAGTGCAACCACCCTTTAGTTCAAACAAATTAAACTGTTTGTCTCTCCTTTTGTGGGCAATTCTTAAGTTTTTTAGGCTCTTCGGGTTCACCCCTCGCAAAAGTGGGGGTTGCAGAGACATACTTACGCCACTGTATAGATGTCCTTGTCAGTGCTCACAATATGACGGATACAGAGAGGATAAGGAAACGTTACATAATGCACATACTGTCAGTATTTTACATTTGTTTAGTAGCTTGGAGTGCCAGATTTTGGAGTACCATAAAAATGCCAGCTTTTTACATTCGTTAATATTAATGAAAGATATGGCTTTATTTATTTGTTTTTGAATTTCGCGCAAAGCTACACGAGGGCTATCTGCGCTAGCCGTCCTTAATTTAGCAGTGTATGATCCGAGTGTATGCATATTTTGTGTCGGAAAGAACTGTTACATACTTTTCCCAAAAGCCATCAATTTTCGGTGGTATCACGCTACTTACGCAACGCTAAACAATGTCAAAATGTAGGTCTGATACATTCTGTTCCTCCGTGAATTTATATCGGCAGTAGTCGTCACGTGACTTGATGATTTGCGTATCCAAAACCGTTTTAATATAACTTACCAAACATCCCCTAGTGATTTGTTTTTTGCTAAGTACCTATTTTAGTCCTATCACATAGGGTAGTGTCTCTTCTAAAAATCACGATGTTGAAAACTTCATTTGGGGATAAGCTTATTTTAAATAGTTAAATATTTATAACAACTGTAGTTTTGAATGAAAAATACAATTCCCCAAAATTAGTATGCACTATTTTATCCACAAAAATGTTGTTTAAACGACATAAAGATTTGTAATTGCAATTTTTCGTTTAACTGACATTAGATAAGGCACGTGACAAATAGTAAGCATACAGTACTTCTGATAAACGTTAGTTTTATAGTACCATATTTTAACTAATCGTCTACGAACTCGACTTTGCCAAGAATAGATCGAAAGGATGGATTTATTCCACTTTCCGCACGACTACCGTACTTTAGAAAATACGTATACTCTTATACAGTTTAAAAACTTTTACACTCGTAACGTGTTCTTTAGAACGAAACACAACCAATAGGAACTATTCCAACTGATACCTTGATTGATGATAGATATACCGTGTTATATAAAAAGCCAAAAATCGGAACTTCCTTTCGTAACCCGATACTCCAACTATGTACGAAGGAAAAAATAACAAGAACGTTTAATGCTTGTGTGCAACGTAATAACCTTGATGTTAGAGTTATTGGAAAGGGATTTACTTTACATAAGCACAGTGCTCAACTGACCTGAGCCATTTCATTAGTGGAATTAGATTTTAAGTACGTGCAAACCACGGAGCAAGTTGATTAGAAAACAGGCGCTACAGGAGATGTATTAAAACAAGAAATACGCAGATCGATACAGTATCAGTTCTTATTATATACATTTAGTTCAGTACATTTTTTAGATTGATCCACTGGGACAGGATCGTGTTTGGAGATGTTGCAAAAACGCAACAATGCAATATAATAAATGTGTACATTAAATAAAAACGACATAACTTATAACAGAAAACTATGATGCATTCATGCCTTTAAATGATCCTTACTGCCACTGACAAAATAAATATGTAATAAATACTGTATGGCGGTTTTGAAGATTCGTGATTTCTGACCTGTTTTGGCCTTTGGGGCTGTGGGTCAGAGTGCTTTTGACTAGCTGTCTTTCCTGTAATCTACGATTTCAGAGTTATGGAAGATCATGCGCCGATAGCCCTTTTGTAGCTTTGCGCAACAATCTTAAAAAACAACAACAAAAATTCAAATGCTTGTTAAATTGATTTTGTTCCTTTGTTTGTTCTTAAGCACAAAGTTGTTCAATGAGCTATCTGTGCTCCTCTCACCACGGGTATTGAGACCCGATTTTTAACGTTTGAGACTGATGATAACGAAAAATGAGCCAGTCGTTTCTGGGTTAGAACTAACACTGAGTGATTCCAGGGCTTTCAAAGAACTAAGCAAGATTGTACAATGAATATAATGCTACGTGATCCAGGGTAAATAACAGACCGTCTATTTGCAAATAACATAGCCCACCGAAGTTATAAGACGCAATGATAGGTGGGTTACTATGGTAAGGATCGGAGCTTCGCATTATACTGCCAAGAAAGTTGAAAACATCTGAGGGGAAGTGGAGATTCATAGTTCTAAGTGTACAAACTCTGGATTGGAGAAGTGCGGAAAACCTCTGGTGATGCATAGGATTCAACATCTTCAATGCAGAATTCATGACCAAACCATAGATGAGAGATCCGTAGTCTAGCTTAGGTGAAATGAGGGCACACTGGATCTTCAGCATAGAAAACCTATCCGCTTCCCAAGAGGTGGAAGAGAGGATGTGGAGGATGTTTAATGTTCTTGTACACTTGACTCGAAGTTGCTTAATGTGTGGAATAAATGTGAGCTTACGGTCAAAGAGACGGCACAACATCTTTGTTTCAGTGAACCAGAGCACCCCCCAAAGTGGAGTTCGAAATCAGGTTGCGATCACCGCTGGTGGCAAAATTGCATATAAACGGTTTTAGATCACGAGAATGTAAAACCGTTTTCTGCGGTCCACTCAGACAAACGAGTGAGGTCGGTCTTAAGCTATCGCTTTATATACCTCATATTCGGTGCCCGACAGGAAATGTGAAAATTATCGACAAAGAGGCTGTTTGGAAGGATAGTTGTTCAGTGATATCATTGATTTTATTGTTGAAACGTGTGGCACTCACGAATAGCACAGAAGGAATCCAAGCTGTTATGTGAAAAATCGGGGTAATGTTGATTCCACACAGACCCGGAATGATCTTTCGGATGAAAGAGAATAAAATAGGATAAGTGACCATGCAACTCATACGAATGAAGGTTCCACGTGATGTCAGGCATTCTCAATATAAAAAAAAAAGACAGGAAAAAGATGCTCCCTCTTGAGGGAAACTTCTTTCATTAGCATTTCAAATTGAATCAGGTGGTCCACAGTGGATAACTCTCTGCGAAAACTGCAATGGATGGACGAGAGGAAGCTGTCTAATTTGTAGAACGAAACAAGTCGAGAATTAATAATCTTCTTCAAAACTTTACAGAGACAGCGGGCCAAAGCAGTAGGTCTATAATTAGAAGGAATTTGTACTTTATTAAAAAAAAAATGATTTATGTCTTCACGACTTCAGTTCACTTGAACACGCACATGAAATATGTAGTTCTTGCTGATTCTTTAAATAAAATCACTTATGCTCCTGAATCGGTACATGAACAATGAAGTTCAAGCTGCTCCTAAAATACAGTTCATGGGTATAAAGGGCTTGGAACCAGCAACAAGAACTACATAGTTCATGTACTGAGTCATGAGCAGAAGACTTTTTTAACGTTTACAGTTAATACAATTCAACTTCTGACATACCGTGCATGCATTATATGTGTGTCTATATATATCTTACTTATCTATTTATTTTTGTAAATAATTTTACGTAATTAAGAGTAACAATTACAAAAAATATACCAGCACAATGTGCCTTTAGAATAATTACTTTTCTTTAGTTGTTGTTTGTAATTAAGCACAAAGCTACACAATGGGCTATCTGTGCTCTGCCCACCACGGGTATCGAAACCCGGATTCTAGCGTTGTAACTCCGCAGACATACCGCTGTGTCACTGGGGGGCATTTTTCTTTAGATTCTTTAATCTTTTTTTGTTTACACTTTTATTTTATTTCTGTTTCTTGCTAATGATATAATGGGTTTATTCCGAAAAGTAAATCGATAAATAAACCCTCTTTGGTTACTGTTTTGTTATCAAGTTAAATTGTATATATAAAAATATTCTGCATACAACAAAGTTATTAAACTGACATATTAACAGTTTCACGCAAACTTTTCAAATTTAAAAGCTATGCGAAAATGATTATAATCATGTTGGACAAAAACTTCCAGACTGCAATAATAAACCAAACCACTTACAATCACTCATCATGCCCGGCATAGCCAGGTGGTTAAGACACTAGACTCGCAATCTGAGGGTCGCGGGTTCGAATCACTGTCACACCAAACATGCTCGCCCTTTCAGCCGTGGGGGCGTTATAATGTGACGGTCAATC